ATTCAGTCGAGGGTCAAGCGAGTCACAGAGACGAGCGTTACTTGTTATTAATGTCCATTTCAGAGGTAAATGGCCGTGGATATTTTTCGAATAACTTTTGATAGGAATGAGATAGAGAGCTGTGGTTTTCACCGTTGGAAAGAGCAGATGAAAATGCATCGAACCATATATAGAAAGATTTTTTCTAAGGTCTTTCCTGAAGGTTTTAGTCAAACGCTTTCAAAGAATTGCGTTTTTCTCCTACGTTAAAAAAGTGATTTTTCTATCGAAATATCACAAAAAACCTGCTTTTTTCGACTATTTTGTTCAAAAGCTGGGCGGTCAATTGCACTCCAATGGCTAGAATATCGTCTTGGTAGTAGTTAGGAATAGAGGCTTTGCGTAGTTTTTTGTAGCTCTTCATTTGGCGGTTCTAGCACACTCCTGAAAGTCAATAAATTAATATCGCAATCATGAGAGGCATGCTGTTTTTCTTGAAATTTTACGTAAAACCTTCAGGAAAGTCGTTTCGAAAAATCTTTCTATTTATGGTTCAATGTATTTTCATCTACTCTTTTTAACGGTGAAAACCGCAGCTCTCTATCTCATTTCTATCAAAAGTTATTCGAAAAATACCCACGGCCATTTAATCTCTGAAATGGACATTAGTCTTGATTCGGATACAAGCATACATTATCTTTTTTATTCTCATACAGCACATTCTTTATTTCAAGACTTGAAAGTCAGTAAAGCGTTGTTCATTTTATTGAAAATAAATGAAAAAAAGTATTATATAAAGAAAAAATAACAATCAACTTTTTTTATTAATCTGTTGTACTCGAAGCAATCGATCGTTTGACATTTTACTTTTTTCATCAGTTAATAACCAACAAGCAGTCCGTTTATGTATATATTTTATATCATCATTGATTGTAGCTTTAAAATAAGAATGTTCTATATGTGGCTGCACCATATTAAAAACTTTCATTCCAGAAAACTCTTCTTTTGTTGTATTTATTAAATTTCGAGTATCATCTTGTTCATCTTCATCATCGTAATCATCATTTGAGGAAAAAGCATCATTAATATTAAGATCAGCTGCTGTTGTAATATCGTCATCATTATCATTATTATTATCATCATCATCAGCAGCAGCAGCAAGGGTGTGGGCATGAGTCATCCTCGCATCCACACCCTATAACTACAGATACATCATCAACAATAAGAAAACTTACGTCATCTGTTGTATTCGATGGCTCACCAGAAACTATACCATCAAAATCTAATTTATCAGTTGCTGAACATAAATCATATATAATTGATACATTAAATAACTGGTGCAAGAACAACAAATCAAAAGATAATAATGAACGATTTTCTTTAGTTGAAGGCAAGGATTATTTTATTTCATTACAAAATGATTCAAGTGGTACATTAAAATGTAATATAAAGTGCTGCTGTGAAAAATGGACAACATTAGTATTTAGACGTGGAAAATTTCAACTGTCAAATTTCTATCGTCATTTACAAGGTGTAACTAATGAATGTCCTGCATTAAAAAAAATATTAATAATTCTCCAGTATCATCACCATCATCAACAAATAATCAGCAACCATTGACCACATCAGATATTGTACTTCAACAAATTGCATCACCAAATTTGATACCTATTATACCACCATCAGATACAATACAATCGAATTCAACTTCAGTCACAGCATCTTCTATCTCCAAATCAACAGAAGATGATGAAACTTGTGATGAAAACATTATCGAACAACCATCATCATTAAAAACTAAAAGACAAGTGAAAAGAAAAGCTCAAACAATAGAATCTTCACATAACACAAGAGAATCAGCAAAAAGAACAAGAAGAAGATAATTTTTATATGCAGAATATTGTCTTGTTTGTACTTCTTCGATTACTTATTTCGTGTTCTCTTATATAGTAAGGTTTTATATTAAATTGATGCGTTTAACTTAATAAATCACTTATTTTTTTCTTTTATAGTTAATCGGTTCTATCAAGTATTGAATTTTTATATTTTTATGTCCGTTTGATTTTTATTTTTATTTTACATTTTACAGTTGGTTTTTAAACAAATAAATAATATAATTATTGATAATAAAAAAACTTTTTAATATAAATATTTCTTGATTGATTCCTACAGTCTTCGCAAATATTCTTTTTGTTAAATTTTTTTTCTCTACTTCCAATAGAGAATTGAGAAAATGAAAACTATCATATTTTTATAATTCTAAGAGTTTCATATCAGAGTGGATTCAAGTGGATTCAAGTGCATTCATGGATTCATGGATTCTGCTGTTTCCCCCTTGGAAAAAATCCATAAGGGTTTCGGTGCACGGCCTTCTCTTGTTGAGTTATGAGTGTTTTACTCAATTTTTCGTCTATGGGCATGGCATTTTCGAAAAAACTCAATGGTCGAATTTCCATCTGAAATGTTGTCCCTAGATCGGTATTATGGTCACTAGAAAGTTCCCAAAGGTTGAGCCAAAATGAACTCATCCTTACCGAGCTATTCATATTTTAAAGAAACACCTGTTTGGGACTGCGTTTCAAAATAGGGACATTTTCATGACAAGCTGATATCTCGGCAAGGATAAGGTCGTTGTGGCTCAAACCGTGGAGGCTTTCTAGTGACCATAATACCTATCTATGGACAAAATTTCAGCCCGAAATTCTCTCATTGAGTTTTTTCGGAAATGCTATGCTCATAGACCAAAAATTGGGTAAAACACTCATAATTCGAGAATAGAAGGCCATGCACCGAAACCCTTATGGACTTTTTCACTACTCACTAAGGTCTATCTAATGGCAATAGTCTCGAGCGAAAAGCGATTTTACACCTGAAGAGATTCCCTCGTTAGATTTTAAGGATCGTTTTTTTGAGGGTTTGAACGCATTTGGAAGCTTTTGGACAGCTACGAAACCTTTTTGGAGGGTTCAGAAAACTACTTATTTTTTACAGTGTAGTAATAGATTTATGGCAGATGTTAACAAAAGATATTTTCATCAATAAGAAGCGCACAGCTAATACTCTCGAAGCATTCGTGACCCAAGTGGTTCCAGCAGTTGGCGGATGAATGTGTGTGGGGGGCGAGTGAAAATGAGTGGGGTGAGTGGGTGAGTGGGAGTGAGAAAGACATCAGCATCAGCATCATCACCCACCCACCCACTTCTTTTGGATCAAGACTGGTGAAGGGCTAACAGGATAAGGGAAGATTTTTTCTGTTAAGAAGTCATTTATGAAGGGATATGAAAAGTGAAAAAATAGGATGCATGTTTAATATTTCAGTTGAAGAAATCTTCGATCAATCAATTTCTTGTGTTTCGGATTACGTTGATAGCACTTCGACGGTTGTAGAAAACGGAAAGACTTATGCTTGAGCTGACGAATTCACTTCACGCTGCTTCATAATGATTGGTAAAAAAGATTACCGAGGCGCTGGTTTCAGCAAATTTCTTGTTTTAAACGACTGATGATAGTAGTGTCTCCCTATCGCAACGATGATCATCCAGTGTTGTTGGTGGTTGAATTTTAATATATCCAACACCTGGTTTGTGATCCTTCACTCACTATTTAATGATCTTGCTATTACTGGTATCTCAGAGCGCATCTGTCTGATCACACTAGTTGAGCAGCCTTGTTCGTGTATCTCGCCATGTTACCTTACAATTAAAGTCTCTTTGCGTGGAAAATGATTCTCTGTAAAATAATAGCTTGGAAAAATCTTAATACACCTAAAATGACAGTAGAAAGAATTTACACGAAGACAGATGGAACTATAATGCTACATCATAGTGTAGAATAGAATGTTAAAGGGCAATCGATAAATTCCATCTGACGATAGAATCATCGCCCTCTTTTGTTTTCCGCAGTCGATGCAATCTCAGTTTGATCATCGAAAATATCCTTTAGCCGGTAATAACTGACACCTATTGAGGCAGATACAATAAGAAAACACCACGGATCAGTGATTGACTGACTCATGCCAGGCGATGGTACTAAGATATCAATTAATTGCTGTATGCAGGTTTTCTAGAATCTAAGGTTATTTGATGAATCAAATATTATTAGTTAGAAATTCTAAAAATGAGCTTGATTCTTCCTTATTCATCTATTTTTTTGGCACACGATTTACTATAGAAAGATGGAACGAAAGTTCTCTTTTGTATCTCTTCACTATTCATTGTATAGAATAGTCTGTCAGGATTATTAATAACATTAAAATCACTTTTTCTGCTGAAAAGTAAGTATCATTGCGCTTATAAGGCCTACACATACTTTGGATATGCCTTACGCATACTCAGAAGCAGAACGAAAAGATAAGGAACAAACCATAATAGAGATTTAGAATCTGATAGAATCCGGAAAATTCGATAAGAATCCCAAAAATCCGAAAAATTCCGAGAGTACAGAATCTCCTCCTTCTCCTTGGTTAAAGTGTTACCTCAAAGCATAAAACTGAAGGTTAAAGTATGATACTAAAACTTTAGCGTGAAAGACATCAGAGTTAAAGTAAAAAATAATTTTTAGCTCTTCATCTTCAACTATCAATTGATTTTGACTCTGACTTTAACTTTTAAATCGAAGTGAGGGTGGGTGAATGTGATTGGTTTCTCTTCATTCTCACACACCCATTCACCCGCCTCTATGTGAAAAGATTTCCTTTGAGGTAGTTGGGTGAAAGTGGTGGACCTATTCTTGTTTTCACCCATCCATCCACATTGAGTATTGAGTTTCGGCCGTTTTCCTCGCAAGTTGGGAAGCTCCCCATTGGTGACAGCCAACAAAGTGTGCCATTTTCCTTTTTTGTATTTAAGTTTTGCTGCGCAGATGAAAGCAACTATTCAATTGTACTATGTAAAAGGACGTCGAATTTCTATGAAAAGCAGCAAATGGAAGAGACGCATATCAACTCACTTTTATTTTCTCCCTGTCGATGACTTATGGAATAGGAAAAATGCATGTATTCTTGTCATAGAACAAGAATAAAGTCCATGCAATTCTGCTCAGTTCTCTGCAACAGATTAAATATTCTGTGAACAGAACTCCATTTTTCTGTGATTCATTCGACATCGACGATTGCATGCATCGACAAAAATGTTGATGAATTTTTTTAGTATTGGAAATGAATCCTCTTTTCAGAGCGGGATGAGCAAAACCTCAAAACCCCATTGTATTCTTGGAAAGTTACTTCAGTGTTTCAGTCGCTCCTGTAGGATTTTTATTTAGAAAAATTCCTGATGACTTTTTAATCTAGCTGTTACCCACTACTCGACGATAATTCCGCGAATGAATAAAGATAAGAGTGAAGTACAAAGGTAAAAAATCATGATACAAAAGATGTCATACGCACAGTCATCAATCTTCTTAACGGTTTTATGGCCGTTCCTTTTCTGTTTCATTACTTTGAATAGAGTGAAAACAGTAAATCTTTGTTATTCAAAAACAATCGGTAGTTTTGCAAAGGAAGTAAGATATTCAATTTTTTTTAATCTTTTATTGACAGAGATGGTTATATAACTGCATTGTACTACCTGCTCACGCTTCCATTTCTTTTTTTCTTGTATCTACACTGTTGGTTATGTCTATTGTATT